TTTTTTTTTTTTTTTTTTTTTTTTTTTTTTTTTTTTTTTTTTTTTTTTTTTGGTCTAAAAAAGGAAATTCTTCAGATTATTGCAAAATGGAAATATCTAAAAATAAAAATATTCTCTTAAATGAAATATAAATAATACAGATTTTTTTTAATAATTCGAAGGAGTGCTTACGTGTCCCATTAAACCATGCAATTTTATGGAAACAATCAACTGGGTTGAAATAGTCAAACTATACTTTTGACTTTTGAATTTTGACTTTTTTTTTCCTTCTAAAATCGAAAACCTTATCAGATATGCCAAACTTATCATACTTTTATTTATTTTTATTTTTTATAATGTATTTGAAAACAATTATTCTATTTATTTCAACTCATTTTTAACCCTATATTATTTATTTCACTTTAACGAGTTTTTAATAACTCCTTATTTGAATATTACCGTCGTAAATAGTTATGGTTAAATGGGTAATAACCGACTAGATGAACCTTAAAGCCACCTAGTCCGATCGAGCTGCAGTCTAACAAAGCTAAAATTAGAGAGCTTCAGAACCAAGTGGGTTAGTTATAGCTCCGTCAATTCATCTTCCAAAACGCCAAGTTCCATCCATTAGAAAATCTATGAAAATAAAATTAGAGGGTGTTTGATATCGACTTAAAACCATTATATATATAAATGTAACTAGTTGATATTGCCTGCCTTTACCTGTTACGTCTGTTAGAGGGAGGTTTCCACACTCTTGAATGCCTCATTGATACACCGCCTGATGTCTATGTATGTAACCGCCTAAGTTCACCGATAGGATAGCAGGTATCGTCCGTTTTAGGCCGTTATATCTGCTAGGGAGAGGTTTCTACACCCTTGAATGTTTTGTTGGCACACCACTCGGTGTTTATATATGTATGAACCCAAGTCTACCACGAGTAGATATGTCAGTTTTGTTTGTTACGTCTGTTAGGGAGAAGTTTCTACACAAGGAATGTCTCGTTGGTACACTGTCCGTTGTCAGGCTCTCATAACATTTGTAACAGCCCAAGTCCACCGCTAACATAATCATCAACCTTTAGGATGGTAATAGTATCTTCTCTATAATCTATACTCGTATTAATATTTGTATACAATAGAGTATAACTTAGTAAAAAACACACTCATTTATCATCTCAAACGTCGATAATTCAGTTCTCGACCTCTTAAACTTGATGTGACTATGTTTGAATCCACTTAAACGAACATGGTAGGGTGATCGGAACAGTTATTTCAATATCGAAAGCAATGATACGAACTTAAAAAAAAAAAAAAAAAAAAAAAAAAAAAAAAAAAAAAAAAAAAAAAAAAAAAAAAAAAAACCAACCCATCAAAATATAAATCCACAATCCATAGTTGTCTCCCTCCATTTCCACTCTCCATCCTTTTAAAGACTATTCCTTCTCTAATCTCTAATGGCTTGTTGCTGAAATTCAAATCCCTTCCCCTGTCCTCCACCCTCCTCTCTTGACCTCGTGTAAATCGATTTCTAAATTTCATTTCAGTTCTTAACTCTGTTCCTTTTTGTTAATCAATTAATCGTACCTGATTTGGTTTAGATTGGATGTAATTATCTCTCGATGTGTTATTGATGTTCATCAATCGTACCTGGTTTTCTCTTGATTGGATTTGTATCGCTGTGATTTTCCGATGAATCGTTTCTTCTGGAATTTGGACGAGCATGTCGAACATTCCGACTTCGATTTCTGAAATCTGCCTCACCATGTCCACCGCCGATCCTTTGCCGTTTTCTTAATTGTTTTGATGTTCTTGATTTTCCTCTTTCTGCTCTTCGGTTTTCCTCGTTTTTATCGCCGCGATGAGACGAATCAGAGGATTGAAACTCGGCAAACACATCCGGCGGATCTCGAATTGGATTCTCCAGAGACGACGGCGGAGGCGATCTGGATATTCCTTGTTATCCTCCGGATGTTCATCCAAGCCGATCGCCAGGCTGTTAAGTTGGGGAAGGCGATTGGCGGACGGAGCGAAATCGATCTGTTCGAGTAGAAGGAGATTGAGTTACGTACCGGTAGATCGCGATACGCAAGAGAAATCCACTACGGTTCCGAAAGGTCACCTGGCCGTCTACATCGGCCAGAACGACGGCGAGTTTCACCGAGTTCTGGTGCCGGTGATCTACTTCAACCATCCTCTGTTCGAACAGCTTCTGAAAGAGGCAGAGAAGGAATACGGATTTCAACATCAAGGTGGAATCACAATTCCTTGTCCGTACTCCGAGTTCGAGAACGTTCAGTCAAGAATTAAGTTCGGCTCCCCTCGCCGGAGACCGCCATGGAAGAAGCTCGGTTGTTACAGACGTTAATTCGATTTTCCGACGACGCCGATGATTCCAAATTCCAGAGGATAGTGACAGTTGAAGACTTCCCCTCATTTATTAGATAATTTTTTTTCTTTGGATAAATTACATTTTTATTCAACATATTTTTTTTTACGATTTAGTGATAAAAATTGTATATTTATATTTTTTCCTAAATAGAATAAAACAAATGAAAATATAAATATTCACTAATATGAGTTGGGGTATATATATATATATATATATATATACACATATAAATATAAAATTAAGTATAATTAGAACAACCATGGTATTTTATTTGGTTATGTTTCGTTTTCCTCTCTAGATCTCACAATGCACTCCATCTCGGGTCATTGTCTGACTCTAATACTATTTGTAACAGTTAAAATTCATTGCTAGTAGATATTATCTTGCTTTGGCCTGGGTTATTGTCTGGCTCTAATAATATTTATAACTATAACTGTTAAAATCCATTGCTAATAGATATGGTCTGATTTGGCTCGAGGTCATTGTCTGACTCTAATATTATTTATAACCGTTAAAATCCATTGCTAGTATAGTCGAGCACATTACAATACACCACAGTCAACCTAAAATGTTCTTAATTTTTATTTATTTTCAAATGCCTTTATTTTCTTCAAAAAAATTTTACGAAAGAAAAACGTTGGGGGTTTGAACCCTCTTGAAATCTCTGTTCCGCCGCGAAGCTCTCCAGGGAGCAACCAGTAATGGCGGCGAACTCTTCGGTAAGCTACAAGAAGACTTGTGTTCCTGTCAATCGATCTCACTTCTTTAGACCTTTGATGATTTCAATATTTTTCTTTTGTATTTTCCTCACCGTTTACGGAACTCTAGAGTCCGGCTTTCGAAAACTTTCGGTTGTTTGGATCAGCGGAAGACGAGAAGCCCAATCCGGGTTTATCCTTGGGTTTCCTCGACTCTCAACAACCTCCACTTCCACCTCCACCTCCTTGCCTCGAAGTTCTTTCTTCTGAGGTATTATTTCGTGCATCTTTGTTTTCCTTTTGTTTACTTTTCAGTTTGAATTATTCAACTATTCCCTTCGATTACTTGGTATTGCGATAGAGAATTTGGATTTGGCTATGATTACGGTTTGTGCAGGTGTGTTATCTTGCTGAAATTTCAGTGTTCGAATGATTTACTGTTGTAGGTTTGTTCTTCCGTTAAATACAATGTGGAGCCAGTGACAGTGGGTGAAATTACCATGTTTAAGGTAAAGGTTATTGCTTATTTCGGTCCTTTTGATAACCATTTAGTTTTTAGTTTCTGGAAATTGTGCTTGTTTTCTCATATTTTCTGTGCAAACACTCAATGAAATCTAAAAGCAAAAACAGTTTTTTTTTTCAAAACTACTCTTTTTAGTATTTTTTAGCTTGAATTTTGAAAACATTCTTAAAACATAGTAACCAATGGACGAAAGCAGTGTTTATAGGCTTAGTTTTCAAAAATGAAAAACCAAAAACCAAATAATTATGAAACGAGACCTTATTTGTTTGTTTTTTTTCCAGTAGAATCAGAGAGGTGGAATAATATGTAAAGATGCCTCGAAACCTGGTTAACTAATGATTTTCTGTTTTCGAACTCTAATTCATATGATGTGTTTCTTTGTTTTGTTACTCATTTTTTTTATAACCATGAACAATTTCAAATTCTGAGCCAAAATTTAAAGTGGTTATTTTATTTTTTTCGTTTTTTCATTTGGCTTAGAATTCTAGTGTGTTTCCAAAGGAGTTGAAGAACAGAAGTTGTCTAATTTTTAAAAATAGGAAATGAAAATTTTGAGTTTTGACCCAAAAGGGAGATCGTACACGTAACAATGTGGCCATTTAACTTGGAAAGAAAGTTGCGAGTTGTTTTCTCTGATTTTTCTAGCTTTGTTATCTACAAATTTCTGTTCAAAGTACAGAAGTGTTCTTAGTGCTGTTAATTCTTAACTTTTATAGGGGCGGGTCAGCACGCAGGAGGTTTTCTCCTTGTCCAACTCTGATTTAGTTCCTGGTAAATATGAAGGTAATTGAGTATCTAATTAGTACTTCTCTGGTTACTCTGCCCTCTCTCAGATCTCTGGTTTTCATGTTGGAAAATGATGTATCTGACGGCAACATGTATGCATATGCATGTATTTTGTGGGTTGTAGGGGGGCTTAAATTATGGGAAGGCGCATTGGATCTTGTCAAAGCTCTCTGTGGAGAGGTTGAAAATGGTCATTTGTCATTTGCTGGGAAGCGAGTTTTAGAGGTGGGCATCTTGATATTCAGGTGATTATATACTGAGATTGTAGGCGAACTCATCTGCATACTAAAAAATGTTGTTAGAGCATTTTGTTCGTTCATATGTGGATAGGCGGCTTATAGAACTCCATATTCAAAGTTGCGATTGGATCTATTCATTAAAAAGAGATAATATTGTAGAAATTTAGCATCAATATATAACAATATTTATTTACTGTGTTGCAGACTTGCTATTAATTGAACTTTAGTTGATGATTATGAAAAGTTTCATATTCAAGCGAGTTATCATCTATATCATTTTCTACAATGAAGTTTAAGTGCATGTTTGACACCCAGTTTTTCATGCAATCCGTCAAATCTTCATAAAAAATTGCTCATGAAATATTTCTATATTAGAACAGTGTTCTGACGTTCTAATTCTTATTATGATCTTCTATATGCATTCTTTTTCCTTTATTAAATCGAGATTTTAATCAAATTCACACGCAAGGAACTCGACTATTTTACATGTGTTTAATTTCCTAGTTTTTGAGTATGGGATTGTTTTCTTTTCTTGATGTTTGTTGGTAAGGACCTTTAGATGCCCGTATTGCGTTGCAGTGTGTCCAATATTCTCTATATTTTAAAAGGAAGCATCTTCTTGACATACATAAAGTCTAGTTCTCTTCCTCATTGACTTTGTCTATATGCTTTCAGCTTGGATGTGGCCATGGTCTTCCTGGTATTTATGCATGCCTGGAGGTAAATTTATTCTTCTGTTTTGTTTCATTAAATTTGTAGATTAAATGCCGGAAAACCTCTATGGTTCTTTACATTCCTTAACACTACCCTTCCTTGCTCGTTAGGATGCAGCTGCAGTACATTTCCAGGATTTCAATGCCGAAGTCCTGAGATACCTTACCATTCCAAATGTCACTGCAAACCTTACAAAAAAGGCAGCTTTGCCAACTAATCCAACTGAATCTGATGCTGGATCAGCAGCTCGTTACTTCGCTGGTGATTGGAGTGAAATGCATAAAATTCTGCCGTTTGCGTCTGACGACAAGGAGAAGCTAAGTGAAAATTTCAATGGCTATGACATTGTTTTAATGGCGGAGACCGTTTATTCTCTTTCTACACTTAAAACTCTCTATAAACTTATCACACAGGTAGAACTTATACAGATGTTTATCTACTTTTGTATCATTATAACTTTAACGCAATCTTTTTTATTTATTATAATTTTTGATGTAATGTTTTATTTCCATTATTACCCTGCATCATTATCTAATGTATTTTTCAACACTTTAATAGTGTTTGAGCCGTCCTCATGGAGTTGTATACATGGCTGGAAAAAAGCATTACTTTGGAGTAGGAGGAGGAACCCGACGCTTTCTCTCTGTGTTAGAAAAAGAAGGTAAGCTGGTCGTACACAATTTCGGATAAAATTATGCTTAAACATTATACTTCTTCCTGATTGGACGAATGAGAACTAAGTTAAAATGAATTTGATATTCTTGAGGGGTCTTCCATGAATTCGTTATACACATTGCTAGCCTAAAATATCATGAGTGATGAATTTCTTGTGAGTCATTGGCTGATTTAAGACGAATGATTCTTTTTTTTTAATTTTTTTTCTTTCTAATTTTAACTTTTTTATGAAGCAGTGAATCATTTCATTGATATGCTAAAATTTACAAAAAATAAAAAAAAAAAAAAAAAAGAAAAAAGAAAAAAGAAAAGAAAAGAAAAGAAAAGAAAGAGAGACCTATGAGACCCCACGTAGGTTGGAGAGGGGAATAAATCATCCTTTATAAGGGTGTGGAAACCTCTCCCCAACAGACGCATTTTAAAATCCGTGAGGTTGATGGTGATACGTAACGCGCCAAATCTAGCAATATCAACTAGCGGGAGACTTGGACTATTACAAGACCCTACCCAATGAATTACAAGAAGAGGATTTGAATTGCACCCAACTAGAGTTCAAGAAAGGTTTGAATGTGTTTCCACGTTTAAGAAGATACGAGATTTAAGAGGAATCACTATCTGACTTATTCTGTGATTATATGGTTTGAGAACTAGAATTATAGGTTTGTTTCCCTACAAAGTTTCCATTAATTTCAGATGGGTTTATGATTCAATCACTTTTTGAAGGGAATGATTTGTTTAATTGACTGTTTATCTTATGGCCTTACAGGTGAAATGGTTTCCAAACTGATTGCAGAAGTTGCTGATGGTTCGTCTAACGTTAGAGAAGTGTGGAAGATCTCATTGAAATAGGTTAGAAATCCTAATCTTTCACTGAAAAGTTTTCTTTCGTTACTGGTACATGCCTGCATGAAAGTAATTCTTGTTCATGTTTTGGGATTTCACCTTTCCACAAAGAACAACCTTTCTTCTACAAAACTTCTCAAATGATCAAATATCTTCTATTTTGTTTTCTCTCTTTTTTAGGCAAAAATAAATTAAATTAATATAACCCAATTATAATCCTTGCAGAAGGAGTGCATTAGGGATGGTTTATGCAAATGATCACTGGAACGAAAGCATTCTGTATTTCTCTCCTTTGTCGAGTTCGTATCTGAAAATTATGGATCAAATCTTTTTTGGGAAGTTGAACACTGTGTTGTGTGCTCCCTTTGTTGGAAAGTATCTCATAGTTTCTTAAAGAATATTACATGCTCTAACTGTGATGAGTGGATGGATATGTCTTAGCAAAATCCTGGAAAAGAACTAAATGGATCCTTAGGTACACACGATACTTCATGAACATCCCTTGTATCTTATCTGAGGATAATATTTATGAATGAATTTTGCGGTTGATATGGTCAAAGAAGATCATCAATAGGGTATGCGTTTAAGCTATGAAATATTATTGGCCCCAAATTCAGCTTATTATAGCCCATCAACACTCAAAGCAGCTGAGCACATAGAATTGGAGCCTTGGGAGTGCCTACTTAAGCTATGCTCAATTGGTATTTAAGGGATCATCCATGATTCGACATTTTGTTAGAACATGATTAGAGGTTTGAATTGCTATCACTACATGTTTGAACTTGAAAAAAAAATGAAGTTGAAGAAGTGAGTAAAATGACAAACTTGTGAGATCGGACGGACTTTGAACTTCTAGCTTTTGATTGATGATACAATACATAGTCATATTTCAAGTTGGTGATAGCCATATTAATTATGGGATGAAAAGTTCAAGAGGATCCATAGAGATTGAAGGACATTATATCAAAAAGTTTTATATAGTTTTCTTAAAATGACGAATTTTCTTACCACAGTCTGAATGAATGAACTATATAATTGGTGTTCTCTCATATCTTCTCATTTTCAGAAGGGTGTATATTCAACTTGACAATTTGGACCAATCCAACCTAAAGGTTAAGTTGGGTTGGATTAGTATTTTGGGTAGGGTTGGGTTCATTTTCTGAACTCGAACTGAATCGGTTTGGTTTTGTGTTCGTGGGGCAAAACCTTCGGATTGACCTAAGCCAAATAAAAATGTATAAATAACAAAACTAGATAGGTTCTAGTATCCAATAAATATTTTTCTCGGTATACTTGTACGAATCAAGTAACTCGATCACACGGGTAAATAATGATAAATTATGTTTTAACCAAAAAGAAACATTAGTTTTTTTCTTTTAATGAAAAAGTACATTAAAAAGTGAAAAATCCCAACAAGTTCCGATAAGATTAGGTAAGATGTTGGCTCACTTTACATCCTGGACAACATGATATCCAACCAAACATCTCTTACATTTCTCATCTCATTTGCTAAAAGAAAAAAAGATTGAGATCACAAACACCATTAATTCATAATCAAATCCCTCAATCAACCAACAACAACACAAGAAGATGATAAAAAGAGGAGGAAAAACGGTTAGAAATTCTTCGACCCATCAATCGTCAGACCTACAACGATATATCTTAGAGCAGCCTCGATTGTAAGGATTAGCTGGCGGAGGAGCGCAGCTCCCGCTTCTAGTGTAAGGTTGGCCACCGCCACCACCATCACAAGCTGGGTGATCCTTCTTCAAAGCTCCAATAGAGATATATTTCTTTTGCTGTGCAAGAAACCTTCGACTTATCTCCGACTCCATCAACGTCTCTTCTTCACCACCACACTCAGCTATGGAGCCATTGCAAGAGTGCGTCGACAAAGCTCGAACGAGACAAAGATCTTGAACGAGGAGGAGAAAGAGAAGGAGAAGAAAGGAAGATTGTAAAGGAGTTGGGTTGCTTGAGATTCTTGTTCTCATGTTGTTGCTATGAGTTTGATGAACTCTTTTTTGCCTTTGGTTCCTTTATAGATATTATTCCTTAGAATAATTCTTTTTGCTATAAATTTTTGTGATCGGGAAAAAGAATAGAGAAAAAAAATGCATTAGTGGAAGAAGCATTAGTGGGAATTAAAGGGTCCATACTTCATAAAAAAATCATAACCAATTGCTTTTGAGTATTTGTTTTTCATTTTTTTTATAATTTTTTTGGGAAACATTTAAAATGAGGGAGTAGGTGAGTCGTTACCCATATATTATTTCAAACCTTTTCGAGTTTTGAGTTGGTTGGGTTCGTGACCCGAATAATTCGAACAGAGTTCACAACTCAACTTGAAGTTTAGGTTGGATTGTCGGGTTGTTGCATTAATCACTAAAACATTCATAAGTCATAACGCATCATTAACATTAATCACGAAGGTCAAATATTTTTGATCTTCATAATAATTTCAAAAGTAAGGTAAGATTGAGTTGGGTTGGTCGAATTGACCCGACAAAAAAATGTTAACCTAGCCTAACATTTATGGTTTGAGTTAGAATGTCTGGATTGGTTGGATTCTCGGGTCATATGAGTTCCGTTAGTCGAGGAGTACCAATTAACCTTCATATAAGATCGTGGAAGTAAATGAATAAAAAATGACTTACGTAAATGTTTTCAACTTAATTGATAGAAACGTGTTTTGAAGTTTATATCGATAAATTTTAAGAGTTTGGAAAGATTAGAAAAACGTTGGAAGCGAAACATAGCATTTAACTTTTAGGGTGGAAGTGTGGATGGCATTATTATTGAGTGGAACCAAAGAATTCAAAAGGACCAATTATATCATATGAACTCGTGGGATCTTTGGAACGGTTTGGCCCACCGACTTTTTAAGTATGCACATTTATAAAAAAAAGTTATTAGTTTTAACGTCTCATGCCTAAGATTTAGATAAGAATTCAGAATTTAGATCTGGCACCTATGTGTCCCGACATTTTCTTGCGACAGTGTCACGTTACTGTTGGCTTATTGGCCCTTGATCTCACATTAATTAATTTCAATGAATTAATTATTGATGTTTTGATGATAACAAACCTACTTTTAATTATTAACTATTTTCAGTTTTTTGAACTGTCCACAGTATAAGGTCGGGAATAACGATTACAACAACTTTTCAATTACTCAAATCAGAGCTAAAACGAAGAAATTAGAGTCGAGACAACATACCCGACGTGATGATGTGGCAACAAAATCAAAATGATGGACAAATCAAAATATATCAAAGTATGACATTTATAATATTGGAAGAGTAACACATGGTGGAGTTTTTCTTATTATTACATTTCTAAATAAAATTATTTTTACAAATATAAATTTGAATATAACCGTTACTCACATCGAATTTTATTATTACTATATTATATTATTATATTATTATATTTTAAAATTTTGGTAGTTACTCACATCATTTTTATTATTATTATATTATTATATTTATAATAAATTTTGAATTACATTTTACCGTTACTCACATAACTTTTTATTATTATTATATTATATTACTATTATATTAAAATTTTGAAATAAATGAATTTAGAAAATTTTCTTACTTAATTACTTTTAATCTCCACCTTCCATTATTCCTAACACAATCCAATGGTCAATATTCAATCCTACATTTTGCCACTTTTCTCCTCTATATAAACTCATCTTCCCCACATTTTTAAAATATACAACTTACATACATTCTTCAATCCTCATTTGTTCAAAGTCTCCATTGTTTATTGCTCTCTCCAAGCTTACAAGTTTATTTCTTTTCATCTTATTCTTGAGAGGGATTATTATTATATTGTGAGGAAATAGTTGTCAGTATCCCAAATTGTAAATCTACTCTTTGAGAGAGTTGTGGTGTGTTATTATCAAACTCAAATACTTGTATCGGTTTGATCCTGCGTCATTGAAAGGATTGAGTTTGCTCTTGAACTCGTAAAAAGAGCGGTGTTCCGGTTTGGCTCTGATCCGTGGAAAGAGTCGGAAAAGTTCTTTATTCAAATTCCCAAGAGGCGCTTGGGGAGTGGAGTAGGTCGAGTTTGACCGAACCACTATAAAACTACGGTGTCATTTTCTCTAACTCTTTCCTATTTAATTTCAAGATTATTATTATGTTTATTGCATGTTCTACTTGATTATTGTTTTGACTTGAATTATTTTGCTTTAGTAATTATCATCTTCTACTTATTTGTAAAAAGTTTTATCATTAGAAAAATTAATCAAGTTTAAACACTTTTATCGTTAAAACCCTATTCACCCCCCCTCTAGGGTTGCCATACCGATCCAACAATTGGTATCAGAGCCAGGTTGCTCCTATAGATTTTTTATCTAAACTTTATTGTTCGAGCTTATGGCAAACCTACGTGTTAAAAATGGTTTTAGTGAAGGACAATCAACTTCTAGGCCACCTTATTTTGATGGAACAAATTATACATGTTGGAAAGCTAGGATGAAAATTTATTTGCAATCCGTTGATTATCAATTGTGGTTAAATGTTAGTAATGGTCCTTACATTCCAATAAAAATTGTTAATAATATTGAGGTGCCTAAATTAGAAAATGAATTTGATGAGCATGATATGAAAAAATGTTCTTTGAATGCTAGTGCTATCAATTGTCTGTATTGTGCCTTAAGTAATGATGAATTTAATAGAGTATGTATGTGTTCTTCGGCATATGAAATTTGGAAAACTCTTGAAGTAACTCATGAGGGAACCAATCAAGTTAAAGAAACAAAAATTAGCATGTTAGTTCATAATTATGAACTATTTAAAATGGAGGAAAATGAACCTATTGGTGATATGTTTACTAGATTTACTAATATTTTAAATGCTTTGAAAAATCTTGGAAAAGTATATTCTACCTCCGAAAATGTAAGAAAAATTCTTAGGTCTCTGCCTAAAAGTTGGGAGGCAAAAGTGACGGCGATTCAAGAAGCAAAGGATCTCACAAAGCTTCCTTTGGATGAACTCATTGGTTCTCTCATGACACATGAGATTACCATGAACGGGCACATGGAAGAAGAATCCAAAAAGAAGAAAAGTATAGCCCTAAAATCCATCAAAGTTGACTCTGAAGATGAGGACGTCCTTGATGAAGATGATGTCGCCTACTTCACACGTAAGTATAAAAATTTTATTAAAAGGAAGAAACAATTAAAAAAACATTTCACAAATCAAAAAGAGTCAAAAGGTGAAAAGAGCAAAAACGATGAGGTAATATGTTATGAATGTAAAAAGCCGGGTCATATAAGAACGGATTGTCCTCTCCTCAAATCATCTAAGAAATCCAAGAAGAAAGCAATGAAGGCTACTTGGGATGATAGTGATGAAAGTGCAAGTGGAAGTGATGAAGAAGTTGCAAATTTTTGCTTCATGGCTCATAGTGACAAAGAGGATGAACAAGAAGATGAACAAGAAGATGAGGTAACTCTTGAATCTCTTTCTTATCATGAATTATTTAAACTTGTTGATGAGATGACAATTGATTTAGAAAAACTTAGTTCAAAGTATGTTGTGCTTAAAAAGAAATATAAGACTTCAATTATTGAAAATAAGTCTTTGCTAAATGAAATTTCTTGCTTGAAGGAGAAGGATCATAATATTGTTAAAATTGATGTACCTTGTGAAAAGCATGTATTTGATTGTGATGAGAAAAATGCATTAATTGATAAAGTCAAGACTCTTGAGCATGATTGTGGTGAAAAAGATAAATTAATTAAATTGCTCAAAGAGAATGAATCAAATA